GTCATGAAGTCCTTGCCTACACCTACGTCCTGAATGGTTTTACCTAGATTTTCTTCTAGGGTTTTTATGGTGTTAGGTCTTATGTTTAAGTCTTTAATCCATCTGGAGTTAAAATCTTTGTATGGGCCCTTCTTTTAACCGGTCAGAATAGGTAGAGTTTCAGAGACCATCTATCCAAGCCCTCAGGGTATTGACTGGGAAGTTGGAGGCTAGAGACAGAGTGATTGCCTAGACAAATAGTGACTCAGCATTGTACTCGTGATGCTGCTTTTTGGAGTTTTTCCTGAGGTTTCTTTCCCAATTTTTCAATTATATAGCAGTCTTAGGGTGGGAAAACTAAAAGCGCAGATAAAACCACTAGTCAGTAGATTCCTCCAAGCCAGTGCAGGTGGCTTGTATACTTACTCAGATGAGAGTAATTATACCTCAGGCTCTTGGCGTGAGGAATCCCTGGGGTCTGGTCCCAGCTCCATCATTTGCTGTTGTAAAGCTTGGTAAAGAAACTTCCTTTATCTGAGCTTCAATTTTATCTTTTGTAAAAAGAGTGTGATAAGCCCTAACACGCAGGGTAAGGGTAGGGATTTGTTAAGATTCTGGTTATGAAAGTAATCACTTTTAGTGTCCTGTGAATTGTAGGATCCCAGCGCAGGCAAGCTCCCTGTGCTTCAGATTCGTGTCTGTCTGGCTCAAATCAGCAAAGAACCTGATATGCCTTCTTTTTCCAGGCACCATGACCACCCTTGACGATAAGCTGCTGGGGGAGAAACTGCAGTACTACTACAGCAGCAGTGAGGATGAGGACAGTGACCATGAGGACAAGGACCGAGGCAGAGGCGCCCCGGTCAGCAGTTCTGTGCCTCCAGAGGCTGAGCTGGCAGGCGAAGGCATCTCAGTTAACACAGGTACTGAGAAACCCTGGGCTCTGAGAACAGGCTTAAAAAATGTGCATTAAATGCGTATTAATTAGAAGTTTTCTAATCACTTTTAACTCTGGTCCCACTTTCAGAGATAACCTAGCTTTTTCATTATGTGTGTGTCTAGCCTTTTAGTGCACAATGCAAATGCAGCTGCATAGCAGCATGGTGATGAACACAGACTGGCCTGGATTGGAATCCTGCATCTCATATTAATAGTTTGATATCTCATAAATCACAAGTATGAGTATATGGGTAGTACAAATTCCTAAAAATGGCATCTTCACACTTGAACATTTTAATATTGTCAAATTGCTATCAATTGAGGTGGCAGTAATTTATAGTTTAATCAGCAATCCGTGTTTCTCCATACCCTTGTCCTCCTCCTGTGTTATGAAATTCATTGATCTTCGCTATTGTGGTAACTCATTGTAGGTTTATTTATTCCCCCCACTCCCACCCTTTTTCTGGGGGTCGGGGAGACAGGGTTTTGCCTTGTTGCTCAGGCTGGAGTGCCTTGGTGTGGTAATGGGTCACTGCAGCCTCAATCTCCTGGGCTCAAATGATCCTTCTGCCTCAGCTTCCATATGAGGTTCCTGTCTTAAAAAACTGGGACCACAGGCACTTGCCACCTTGGCTAGCTAATTTATTTTATTTTTTCTGGAGATGGAGTCTCACTTTGTTGGCCAGGCTGGCCTCACACTGCTGGCTTCAAGCAATCCTCCTGCCTCAGCCTCCCAAAGTGTTGGGATTACAGTATAGGCGTGAACCAATGCACCAGGCCCATCTTTCTTTTTAAGAGGGAACCCAAACTACTTTTCTTAATTTTAAGAGAGATTTTTATATCTTTTGCTTATTTACAAAATGGGTGATTAGTCTTTTTCTTCTTGGGGAGCCATAAAGGAAATTAGTCTGTGATATGAGTTGTAAATATTTCTTTGCTTATTGTCTTTTGACTTTATGTTCCTTTCCTGGATGAAATTTTTTTTTTCTTTTTCTTTGAGACGGAGTTTTGCTCTCGCTACCCAGGCTGGAGTGCAATGGCGCGATCTCGGCTCACCGCAACCTCCACCTCCTGGGTTCAGGCA